CTCCACTCTCCTCTCCCTCCACTCTCCCTTCCTCTCTCCACTCCCTCCACTCTCTCCCCTCTCTCCCCTCCCTCCACTCTCCCCTCCTCTCTCCCGCATTCACCTTCAACCCAACTCTCAACTCCTCTCTCCCTTACTCCTCATATTCCCCACCTCCACCCCCACCCCCTCTCTAATCTCCCTCCCCAATTTCTGACAACCTTCACACACTTCCCTCGCTGCTCTCCCCTGTCTCCTCCAATCTTCTCTTTTTTTCTTTCTTTCTTTCATATTCTTCCTTTCTTCTATATACTCTTGCTCTTTTCCAGGTCTAGTTCATGACATAGAGCTGGACGAGAAGGGAACCCGGGTGGCCCAGTTCATGCTTCACAACATCAACAACGGTTGCTACGTGCCCATCGCCAGGACTGAGCCTGGGTAAGTAGTTAGTAGTAGTAGTAGTAGTAGTAGTAGTAGTAGTAGTAGTAGGAGGAGGAGGAGGAGGAGGAGGAGGAGGAGGAGGAAAATGGTGAAAAGGTATGAGTTTAACGCCCCTATCAACACTATTAGGTTATTTAAGAGGCGGGACCTCCTAATTTAACGTCCGTCTCCGATAGGACCGAGCCAAGTGGGAAGTTCGTGTAAAGTGCCTTTCCCAAGGACACAACGTCGGACCGAGCTGAGGCTCGAACCCCCGAACCCCCGAACCCGCAATCTCACGATTACGAGTCCGGTAGCCTAACCACTAGGCTACCGACGCCACCTTAGTAGTAGTAGTAGTAGTAGTAGTAGTAGTAGTAGTAGTAGTAGTAGTAGTAGTAGTAGTAGTAGTAGTAGTAGTAGTAGTAGTAGTAACGCTCTACAGTATGCTCTATCCACTTTACAACCATTATTATCCAAGCAGACTACAGAAAACGACTCAGAATCTTTCTTGGCTTCCTGGGGAACATTCAGGGTGATCTGGGGATTACGCGCACTAACTTGCCAAAAGACCAACAAACTGACAAGGTTTTTCGTTATCTATCGCCGGGTGCCCATTCCCTCCTGGGTGAAGTGGAGAAAATAATATGCGTGAGGTGCCTTTTCTAAAAAGAATTAAGGGTACAGCAGTAACTCCATAATAATATGCCCACAATTTGACGAGCGCCTGATTCCTTTGCGTCGCCATCTACTTTTCGACTCACTAGATGTAGAGGTCGGACAAAGGGACTATATCGGTTTGACATTTGCGTGTGGATAGATATCAATCACTAACACGTTCTCCCCGGCCTGATGGAAAGGGGGACAAGGGAGGGAGGGGGAGGGGGCACAGAGCACTCTGAGTGGTCTCATCCTCGAGGTTTAGTTTTACAGAATCTGTTTCCTGGTATTAGCTACTAAGCCTCAGCTCCTAAACATACTTAAACGTCGATGTGCGAGATACGTGGTATTTCTGAACACGAAGGGGAACATTATGTTGTTTGTGGGTGAGGAAAGAGTATTTGTTTGTTTGTTAGTCAAAATGTCCTGACAATTGTAAGATTCAAGGGTTCTTAATAAAATATAAATTATCAAAAATGATGTCGCCATTCCAGTTGCTCGTCATGTCGTCTGAGAAAGGCAGAGTTCTCTTCATTGTTCTAGTGTGTGTGTGTGTGTGTGTGTGTGTGTGTGTGTGTG